ACTCACACATATATCGTTTGAAAACAAAAAAAAAACCTAAAACCAACCGAATTACTTACATCTGTTTGATGATGAAAATCAACCGCCTTAGAACTTGTACATACAAATGTATTTTGTGATTAGGATCAAAAAAATATTGCGTAGTAATCATACCTTGTTACCGGTTGAGTGTGGTAATCGTATAGATTTTTAATTTAATAAAGAAGCAAATTTGATTTTCATCATTATTTAGTTCCGGTGTACTAAATTTTCTATTAGTTGGCGGTCGGTGTTAGACGAACAGTCCAATTCAGTTTGATAATAAATTAGCCTGCATTGTTAAAGTAAGGCAGTGAATTTCAAATATGAAAGAAAGTATTGATTAACACCGGTTGAAAGTTATGCGGTTCATCGTGATTATGTCGTAATTATGGGCATAAATGCAATAACGAGAACAAAGTTGGAGAAAGTACTCTCTACATCACGTGTTAACTGCTTCGTTATTCTGCTGTTAAAAAGCTAGGAAATTTGAAAAGATGGAAAAGGAGTCACGAAAATTATAACTGTAGATGTTTCTTTGTATTACCCATTCAAACGCCATATGTACATTACTGTGCTTGTCTGACGACATTAATGTGATATTTTAGTTAGAAATTAACATCATAGGGTTGCGCTTTGCAATCTTTAGCTTACCCATCTCTGAACGTCTCATACAATGCGAAGTTGCTGAGTCATCGATCTCACAGGCTTCCTATTGGGGGTGCTCCGCTTCTCGTGCCTGCATTGGCCGTTTTTCTCGGGGCTTTCAGGTAAGCTCACCGGCCAGGCCACCGTCCTTGCTATCAGCATTATCATCAACAACATCCACGACGTCTGTGATGTCAGGGATTGTGAGTGACGGGCTATCAGTCGGCAGCCGAAGCGGAGACGAAGAGTACGTTCCGGACGAGAGTATGCGTCGACTGCTACATAATCTCGAGTTATCCTTCCAGGCCGTGTAAGTATTCAATATGTTATAAACATCACTTTACACTCATTTACTTTCATTGCGAATACTTCATTCGCAGATTCTACTGCTGAATTCTGTTGTTGCTGCGTGCAAACATAGCGGAAAATAGGACTCCCGTTAGCCTGCCCTACCAAAACACGGTGTACGTTTTAAACCGTGAGAATCAACGTTATGGGATCACCGGTTTGTAAAACAAATGAATGTATCTATATATGTAGGGAATAAATTTATAAGCCACTAAATATGCCTTACTGAAATTCAGATTTTTTGAGCTACAGCTTATGAATCTTCAATCGAAATACCGAGACAGACATGTTTAGGCTCAAGCAAGCAAAAGTACTTTCTATTATCCGAATGTATCGAGTGAAACGGCTAAAATGTTACTGGTGCGACTATGTTAATTGCAGTAATTATAAAAAAAAATAGTTAACCGCACACATCAGTGCCTCTCGTGGCAATTTTCAGATTTTTGTATGAGATCACAGGTTGTGGCTTTGCTCGTACTTCCAATAATCCTGAAATGAGCAGCGAGCACGCAGTAATAAGCAATTTCTGCGCCATTTAATTATTATGCTCTTGGAGGTTAGTAAGCGACAGAGAAGTTCTAGCGCGTTGTCCCGATAACACGGATACGTAATGAATGGAGTCAGTCAAATTATTTTCTGTTGTTATTTATGTCCTGCATAAATTGCTATTCTCAGCCGAAAGTAATTATTTTGTTTTCATATTTGTAGATCACAGGCACAAAAAGCAAGCTCACAAAAGGACTCAGGGTATATGCCAGGATTGTTTGGCGTTTCTAGGAGTCCGACGATAGAGTCAACTTGCCTTGGAGGCAGTCTTGGCAGTGGGCTTCTGTCTCCGTACGGTTCTCTGCCATATCACAGTGTCGACTCGAACATGGGAAACAGTTCGTATGCAATGATGCAGCGGCAAACCCCTGGATACGGAACGCATATTCAGGGAGGGGGCTCTACACAGTCGCAACATCAACAACACAGCCATGCACAGCCCCAGTCATATCAACAGCATCAGCCAAACTCCTTATACGATTTCTTCCATAATCAATCGTCGGCGATGCCACAGCAAACGGTGGGTCCAGCAACGCACTCAATCTCGTCAGTACCATCGCCGCATTCAATGTACGAGAATGTGCCGCCGCAAAATGCTTCACCATCGCATCATTATACGCAACAGCAGGAGCAAAAGCAGCCACAACTGCAGCAGCAGCAAAATCGCTATCCGACATCGCCGCCAGGAAGTAAGAGAAAAATTTTGTTTCAGAAAGGGTTCTTTGATTTATTTTTTCTTAGACTAGCTGCTTAGGTAGGTACACTCTAATTATTGAGTGAAATTGCATATTGAAACGTGCGTGTTATTATTATTATTGTCATTATTATTAGATTATCATCGAGTTGTGTCGAGTTCATACAGTCTAACTGCTAACTTTTTTACACATTAGTTGATCAACGATGGGGCGGATATTATATGGGTATGGCCGGCGATAGCGTTTGGTCCCCGCCTGTCTGCGGACCACCGACGCCGTCCACTCATCACGTGACTTCCCCGCCGCCAGGCTTCGTCAACGGAAGGGATACACCGCATTTCGAAGACGTACTCAACCAACAGCAGCAATACTTGGCCCACCTGAATCTCGACCGTCCGACTGCTGCACTTTGGCCGAGCGGTCAGAGTGCTTGGGGAACCTCTGACAGCTACTACGATGATCACTCCTAAATAACGGAACTATTGATGACAGAAAGAGTAACATCCATAGGGTGCTATACAATTATGGGGTTGCCCAAGATGCATCTTTAATCTAATTCAATTATAGGTCCACCTTGGATAGACAACTCGCAAAGAGACAGGGCATACATAAAGCTTCAGGCACTCAGCAACCGAATCATGACTAGTATTGCCCTAGATGATAGGTTATCTAAAAGTCGGGTTAGCGAATAGTAGTAAGGTAATAGTGGGGTGTGCATCTTTCGTGATTGTATATGAAAGAGCAAGGTGGAATTTATGTAGGAAAAAACTAGGGTAAACATGGGACGAAGTGGCTGCCTAAGTGAACAGGTGGCATTTGACGTGAGTGACAATGGCCCAACACACAATTTTGCCGTTGGTCGCTTTATGGAAAAGGCATGTGCTAGACACAATTGATGGTGAAATGGGACAATACGTTGATTGGGTAATGGAAACTTTTAGTCTACGTGACAGTGCCCCATTTTATGTCGTGGCCCTTTTATCAGCTTTGCAATCGTTATCGTATATTTCATTTATTTTTGATTCTCCTACTACGGCTTACTAAGTACATTTCATTCCTGACTTTACTTTGTTTTTTTTTTAAATTTTGAGTTTGTGTAACAACGATGCAAATATAACACCAGAGTGCTGCCGTATCATCAGCATGCATCAGTTAAACAAGAAATAAAAATTAAGCAAGAGATGGAGAGACAATGATTGTGCATATAAACGGGACACTAAACGGCCAGCAAATTTAAAGGAAATATACGTTTGAGAAATAGATGCGCACTTGACGAAAGAAAACCATGTATATATTTACACCAGTCAGTTCAATATAATTATTATTATACAGTATTCTCTTTAATTCGCAGCGGGTTTGGCCTCTCTATGCTGTATGAAGATTTTCTTTAATATTTGTGTATTTAGAAAAGTCATGTTATTTTTGTTCCAATGACAGTCGTGACCGTCTTTAAGTATGTTCGTGTATGATATGTATCCAAATTGCAGCATCATTATACCGGTTGCGCAGTGTAAAAAACAACACAAACTAAAAAAAATTCGAGGTCTTTAACCTCTCATTAAAAAGGTATTCCTTTGTCGATTTCAAGAGTACTCCTTGCACACTCGAAACGTTCTGACCTTTATCTCCAACCGATTGGTGGCGTTATCAAATCATTCACAACTTCACTCATTTTCAATTGAGCAAATGATTGACCTGTAAAGCTTTCATATTACTGCGGAATGACTAACCCAATCATGCAAATGCACTGCGAGGTTGCTTACAATTTGCCGTGGGAAACAATCCTAGAATTAGCTATGTTGTTTTTTCTTGATATTTTGTGAGGCGTTGTACTAAATAATCATTAACTTTCTCCCTCGGCTTTAGGTTATAGCAATAATCGCCAATGCACCCCTACTTAAATTCATTTAATGCTGCTTTAGTTGGAAACAGACCAAGTCTATTAAAAAGAGATCTGACTAAAGGCCGTTGTCGGAAAAGCTGTGATACCATCACACTATAGAGTCTTACTATAAGCAACGAAAAGTCGAACTTTCATGTTCGTTCGTTTACAGGGGCTTGATAAAGGTAGGAGGGTTTTTGAGACTCGAAATGAAAGTGTAGAAGGCTTTGTGCAGACGACATTGCTTAAACGGTCTACACAGGCTTTGAAAACAAAATCAATAATAAGGAGCACGTGACGGCTGAGAGACAGCGTTCGCGGAAAGCGAATTAATTGAGCGTTAATAAATAGCTCCAGGGGGCACAAAGAAAGGGTTTCTATGGGTGGCACTAAAATAAAATATAGAAGCAGAAAAAATGCAAAGCAAGCAACAAGTCGTGTTTATTGTTGCTGTTATCTGTACGGACGCAAACAAGTAACATACTCAGTAGAATCCTGAGCAATGGCACTGTTGTAAATCCTTTGTGCGTATAATTCTACAATGAATTATACGCAAATTATTGTCGAAATGCACGCCAAACGTAGGGACTAAATGCATAGAGCATTATTAACAGCTATATGAAAAAAAGACATTAGATAAATAGATAAATCATGTTTTCATTTAGACATACGTGTGGTAGGACGGTTGTTGATCTAAAAAAAATATTTGTAACGCCATCCTGTTTGAATAGAAGAGTGCATGATTAAAAGAACAAAGATGCTTTACTATTGAAGCAACAAGTAAATTATTGTGAAGGTAAATTAAATTTAATGCCATACTGACAATGTATGTAGAAGATGGCATTCGAATGTACAGATCTACAATAAAACTGAAAACCTGATTATTTAAGGATGTTTACATCTGATGTCCTGTTTACTGAAGGTTTTTTTCTTTTAGGGTTTCACATCACCGATATCCGTTTAGCATTAGTTCCGTTATGCAAAATCATATAGGATTAATATACAAGAACTATATTAGTCTATATTTCATAAAAAGATGTGTACGTACAGCGTAATTATCAACTTATTTTTCCGCATTTTTTCACACAGTAAGATTAAGGCAAAAATGTGAAGCTTCTTTGGTTACAAAGGCTGTCAATCGCACCTTCTGGCGCATATCATTTTTTTCAAGGCTCTCAGAAATTCTGAATCATTTTCTCCTTTATAGAGAAATGGTCTGAAACTTTTTCTACTAAACCGACCAGGCAAAATCCCCTTCTAATTAACAATTATATATTTTACATTTAATCATATATTTTATATAAACATTTTTTATTATATATTATGTAAGATTTTTACCAATCAATTTTACGAGCTGTTTTTGGTATTATTGGTCAAGGGGCTACTATTAATCTTATTGAAATGCACTCAACAGCTTTCAATGCAGCTGCATCCTATAATCCAAAAGCCATAAATAAAGCTTTGCCTGTGTTATTTACTTTTTTTACTCATTTTTAGCTTCTTTTTTCTTTCTGCCGTTATTCGCATCCCGAAGTACCTTTCTATAATGATTTTCATATTTGAATATTTGATGATGATGATTTTTTTGGCGAAGCCACCAGAATATTGGAAATATGGTGCTTGTATCAACGCCATGAGTCAACCTCATTTCAGAAAAAGAAAACTGAAAAGTGTTCTTTCTACAACAATGTTCTCAGCTACTGAATTAACAAGTTAGTTTGACCACAGATGCACATACATTTTATACACAGAGCAAATATTTTAGGACCAGTAGCAACTGACCGCATCTATCTGAAGTCCCAGGAGTAGTATTCATTTATGACAAAAGGTGTGTTCCAAATAATGGTAGGATTTAATCGAGGTACCAAAGTGCCGATAGTGACAATTGATAATACAAGAAGGAAACGTCGTACTGTAACAAGTTTTTTGCGAATGTTCAGTCGTTAGGCATTCATCTTGCCGTACATTTCTTAATACCATTTTGCGCTTATGGTATTTGCTGTATTGTAGCTTACTCATATTCTCATTTACAGGAAATAGATACTCACGGCTTTTTGCCTAGACCCATGTAAAAACTACTTCATTAATGATGTAGCCCTGCGGGCTTCAAAAGCAGAAAATTACATAAACATATGCTGGTATACGACTGGAAGTCACCGTTCAAGTTTTATTTTCACTCATTCTCTCGATTGTCCTATTGACTTTTTACTGACTCTCCCGTGGTGGAACAGCGCGTTACCAATATGGCGGGATATCTCAGCTACCAAGCTCACGAAGCATGATCGTCCACACGCTGCGAGGCCATCACATGTCGTAGAGTTTGATTTATTCAAAGGGTAGACGGACTCAGAGGGTGCTAAGCTTGAGTGAGGCCTGTTCGTTTCGTACTGGGAGCCAGCCATCTAATGGAAGGCCTAACGGTGATACCCGACGTAAAACCCGAAACGTAGAGAGGGCTTGAGATGGTAAAACGATGCAAATAAATCATGATAATTAAAAATAGTTAAATTAGATAGTGGGATTAAGGCTAAGCGACATTTTGCACTGTAGTGAGTATCAAAGCAATCGTAACTATTATATATATATATATATATATTTGTTACCTTGTCGAAAAAAGTAGATAAAATATAGATATTTTATCTTTTTTTTTTCAACAAGATAACAATTTTTTCCAACAAAAAGCATTCAGAAGCTGATTAGACACTATAAGCATTGTGGGCCATTGGCGTGCGATTGCTACGACTAAGTAAGTTAGATTTTCTTGGGCTACTCTGATTATTCCATGCAGGTAGTGCTTTTTCTTTACCAAGCGAAATGTCGAAGACGCAGAATGATTCTATCTGCTGCTGTTTACCTGAGACATCGTTTCGAAGCTCTATATTTTTCGACACTGGAATTTGCAATCTAGAATGTAATAAGTGTCACCTACACCTCAAAGGAAATTTTTAGCTGAAAAGAGCTAGATTATTACACCGCAAGCTGGCCAAGTTGCTCACTATCAATGTGGTTGTGGAAAAAAGACGCGAAGGGCTATCAGGAACGTACAGCTTTATATTTTTGTAATGCAGTCGCACTCACTGTGATATTTCGGTCAGCTCCCTTCTAAATGATTCGTGACAGCGAAATTGAGCTAAATACACTAGAACATAGGAACGTCACTAGCGGTGTTTGGCTTCTCATGATATACGCATACGATTTCTTCAAACTAGTACGGTTCAGCTTTAACGCTTAGATCGAGCGCATTCCTAACCTGAATAAACCTTAAAGCACGATACCATACTATAAAAAAAAATATTCCAACCTATTACGCTTACTGTGGACAGTAATTTTACACTTTACAGCATTTTCATCATTTCAATATTATGAAGCATGTAAAAATTCCTAAGACTTGCCTCAAATGGCAATAAATTGCGACAAGAATGTCTGTCGCTATAACGTATGGCTTAGATTTATATTTTGTGGGGAATGGTATTCTCTATGAGAAAGCTCTGTTTCCTATTTGAGTATAATGTTATAGCTCATTTTCTAACGACATTATTCGCCATCGACGTTTTGTCTAGGGGAGAGTCACTTTTCAATCTCTCAGGGGCAGCCTGCACCGAACATCTCATTTCTGTCTTTCAGTACGAAAATCTTAGTCGATTCATTCGACGTTTTTTATGCTTGCAACCATGATTGCTTAGTTGTGCTGCTCGCATATCACAACCAGGATGGCAGGGTGCAAACACGTGCAGACATTTGTTTTGCGTACGCTTTAAGAACGCGTTCACCGCTGTTTTCGGTTGAAGGTTTTCTCCGTATACTTCTCGTACACACATCATTCGTGCAAGGGCTGGCATGCATCTGTGTTTGGGTGGCTAAACCATTCTAACAACTGTAATTGCCGAGGTGGTTTATGCAGTTCGCGCCCAGCGAAAGTGGGTTGGAATTATTTTCGTGAATGTGCAATGGACTGGAATCCAAATGATAATGGGCAACCCTCTAAAATTATCAATGGGACTGATCAAACGTCCACGTCAGTGTTTTGGCCTACCGGAGAATCAAGTAGTGGTGGCAAAGCTCTATCTCAGCAGTTTCTTCTTCTATGTGCTCACAGTCATGTACGTGAGTGCGTGTCGAATCTCGCTCTATCAGGGGTTCATGTCGTGTTGTCTTTAACTGTCCTGGCATTCTGGGCCTTTGCGACAACCTTATATAAAAAAAAAGAGCACTCGGGTCGGCTATTCCCGCTACATCGGGCTCGGTGGCTGCTTACGTTGCTGCTGATCGGATTGCATCTTATCGAATTGGGTGACACGGTCTTACTCACAAGTTATAAAAGTAGCGAGCCTCATTACGGAATTCATATGATGCTCCATGCAGGAGGCGCGCTTCTTGGCTGCGCGGCCAGTCTCTTGATGTTCGCACTCTGTGAGCGAACCCATCGCTGGAGACATCTCAGCCTACTTATAATCTACTGGTTGTTTAGCTTTTCGGGCCAATTGTTCAAACTGTTGGCGTTAACTGATAAAGGAGCGAACTGGAAGCATTTGTGCGTTCAGTACACGTTGGTATCGGCCGCGCTCACCTTCATATTGCTAATGCTAGAGTTGGTCGTCTTTTTTATGCAGGTGAGTTTATCTGCAGATTTTCGCTTGATATATATGTATACGTGAAATGTATGATGCGAGTTCAGCTTCAAAATGTACGAAGTAGAAATGTATCTTACCCAACGCTGCCCTTTATCTCGTGCTGTATTACGTGTTACAACACTTTTCTTTTTATTTGGGAAAGAGTTTTTAATGTTTATAGGACTAGAGGAGAAAAGGCACAGATTTTAAGGCATGCTTTTAATAATCCGTCTAAAAGGACTGAATGGGAAAGTCTTAGTAGTATCAATGGGCGTGCTAGTCCTAGTCTCACTCATAATTTCGAATCTTCAAATGCAAGAGCCTCAATTCAATGTTCTTCCTCTCCACAATGTTCAAATAGTATTTTATTAACGTTACCATAAAATGTCTGGTAATTGCACTAACTTGAATCGCAATTTCTTGTTTCTCATTATCAGCGGCCGTGCACACTGCTTACAATTTCATTTTTTTGACATCGAATTTTCATAGTCTTTGTAGATGAACTCTTCAGCATAACTATTAGCATATTGTTTCTTCGATTTGAGGAGTCCATTAAAACGGTTCATTTAGAATATTTCATGGAACCCTACATGTTTGCAATATTCAAGATGAGTGGACTGTCAGGGCAATAATATTCACCAAAAGAAAGATAGGGTACAGCTGTCTTTTTTATTAGTTGCCAAATTGGCGCATTGCGAAGCTTTCGACACTAATGCTTGCCCACTCTTAAATTTCCTGCAAAACTTTTCCCGTTCAGTTCACTAAAGACCATAGTTTGACAGAAAATACGTTTCTAGCATTGTTAGGTAGGGCCAATGGCCATTCCACATTTACGTAAAACACACAATTCTGTGGAGAGATTTCTTCAGCCAAACAAAACGAAAATGATCAGTTGTTAATAAAGTGAGTACAGCTGATCAAGAAACCAATCGCACATAAGAATTTCTGGTTGAAGCTCGCGTGTCAAGTGAGTTCATAATGGTATCGAAAAACTACAATACTGAAATCAATTCAAATGAATCTGTTTCGTGCATTAAACAACAGTGCAGAGCTACGAGAATTTTAGAAACAAACAAAAATGTTCGTGATCGAAACTCCGATCTGTTGTTGAATCAGTCATAACTTGTTCGTTCAAGCACGGATGTCACACATGGGTCATCGGAAGACAGATTTTTTTTCTAGAAGAGTGCGAGGGCCGGTCGCGAGTAATGGACCAACATAAATGAGAATTCTATAGCAAATAAGTTGTTTTAGCAAAAAAATCTTGTACAATATAGTATGCTCCTATTTATGATCATGTCTAAAATAGGATTCTACTGTGTATGGCAACTTTTTAGTAATGAAACATTAATTCAAGGGACGACAGCTGTTTCTCAAACGGTAAATAGAAGAATAACAAAGCTTTCATATACATAGTTATTATAGCATGAAGTAAAACCTCGATCCAAGTTCTCAGATACAAAGTCGCATGCTGAATGATAAAGTGTATCGCAGCAGTTCAAATCACTATGCGTTTTAAGGGCATAGTATAGCTCTGCAATATACAATTTGGCATTTTTCAAAGGGTTCATATCAAAACAATGTTTGAATTTAAACCTATGCTAGGCCTTGCGTTCTTCCTACTTTCTGCAATTTAGAAATACTACCAATGTCAAAAATTATTGTTAACCAATATAGGGACGTGTGCAGTGAAGACCGATCTAATATTTACTTTGCAGAGACGAGAGGCTAACCGCAGCCATGCAAGGATTGAGCCTATGGATAACATCCCATGGGAGAAAATCACTTACAGGTAAAGTTACGAGCGTGAGCGAATCGCATACGATATGACTCTTTCTGCAAACGCAAATTCATTATTATTATTTATTACATTATATATTATAAAGTACGCATACATATCGGACTTTCCTCTAGGACATGTCAAAGAGTGAATGAATTACTGCTCTTGCTTATTTGCTGTCCCGAAGGTATGCAGTATGAATGAAGTGATCAGGGATATATATATATATATATATACTAAAGTCACGTGGCTTGTCTTTACAAAAAAAAATCAATTTTTAAATGTAGAGATCTGTACTATTGTTTGTATTGATGCATTTGGACGTTAGAGGTTGCGGTTTGGCACCTAAGCGGTAATTCTATTCTGCCCTATTACTACTAGTTCGTTACATTTTTATGTTCGTGATATCTAGGTATTCGCTGGCTCCGTTTTTCAGTCAAGTGACCTTCTCATGGGTACTACCACTCCTCTGTAAAGGCTTTCTTGCCCCACTGACGCAGAAAAATTTAGGCATACCAGCTCCAGTAAGTATAAAATTGGTTATTTTTCTTAATAAACTAAGGTAACAGATAGATTTAAGCCGTTTTATCTGCTACTAAATAAACGAAGTCAAACTATACAAACTTCAGTATTAAGCATTGAATAATTAGCGTCGATGAAAGATTTCAGTGCCATCAGATTCATTAAATAATATGTTTTTTTTTGCATCCAGCTAACGAACATTAGACTCGAAGTTTACACGAGCCTGTGGACTCACCAGTCCGCATATAAAGCTTAAATTATACCAGTTTGTTATGACCCTTTTAGGACCACCAAAATGTGCATCTGCACAGCCACTTCGATCGAAACTTGCAGAAAGAATTCGAGCGGCTGCGTCAAGCAAAGTTAAGCGGTGAGGTCACGTCACGAATCAGCCTATGGCGAGTATACCTGAAAACATATTGGCAGAGGTACTTCTTTGCGATTTTGCTCAAGGTACGAACTTATCCGAATCCTTTTGTAATTTTCAGTTAAAATCTAGTTCATATTTTTGGGCTGTAGATAGAGAATTTTCGTGACTGAGCGATGATCCCGACATAAACACTCTTTAGTATGTATTTTCACAGGTGTGCGGCGATATTTTGGCGTTGGTTGGACCGTTTTCAATTAAGTATATTATCAAGTTTATTGACTCTGAGCGCTACAGACTACCTGATGTAAGTTAAATGCGATCACTGTTTGAATCAAGACATCTATAATATCGAAAAAGTCCTCATTTATGATCGAAGTGAATCCTTATTCTTAGCGTTCCTCTCAGGCTATGCTATAGACTTCCGATATGGAGACTACCAGACTATTGTTTTTTCTTCTTATTGCTCTTTACACCCAGACACACAGATATTCGCAATAGTTGTGCTACTCGAATGTCCATATGATCACTTATGTACAATCAAGTACAATCAGTGTTGATTTTCCTTGTGAAAAAGGTTATTCCCTTATATAAAACCTATGTACGTCTGTTGTGTCAGCAGCACGAATTGCTGACGGTGTTTGATCTCTTCGAAAATGGCTACCTTTTGGCGGTCGCTGTTCTCTTGTCCACCCTAGCCCAGTCCACGTTTGCTAACAACTTCCAGCACATTGTTGCCATGGAGGGCGTGCACATTCAGGTCAGTCGGTAGCACATGTGGGATCTAAGCGTATGGAAGATAAAGTTCAATCAAGGGAATGGAATACAATATGCGCTAACATATTTGATTATATGTATCTTTGCATATTGTACATTGATGTATGTACATTGAGCGTAATCAAATATTGAAAAGTATTATATCAGTTAAATGCAGATGTAGTTACTACATTGACACGTACCTTAAAGTTTTGTCCTCCCTAAATAAGTGAACATAATACCATATCAGTTGAAGAGTCGTCCTGTAAGAGTAGTCATGTTAGCTCAATACTAATAAAATAAGCATTAGCTTCTGAACAACCCAGAGGAAGACCTACATGTACCATAGGTAAGCTGTCATACGAAGCTCTGTAATAAGAACTGTCCATTTAATTGGAGAGCATTTTTTTGGTTTCATCTAACCGCAGTCAGCATTGCGTACGGCTGTTTATTCAAAAACTCTGCGTCTCCGTCTACAAAGAGAGGAAGTTGGGGATACGGATTCTGGAGGCGTCATCGACCTTTCTCACGAATCTCAAGAAAGCAAATGGAATCCAGAGCAAAAAGGTCAACCATATATATCGATTGGGTAAGTGTAGTATATAAATAATTTATCAGTCTATAGATTATGCCACCTTATAACGTGTAGAACGCGGTTAGTTAGCGACGAGCAAATCGCGAGAACATGTTAGTAGAGCGGTAATAATACCACCATATTACCGATAGTAATAATGCCAAGTATTTATTTTAGTGTATATTCACTGAAAGAGATTATTTCTACGCTGTGGGCCCACTAATAATAGATCAGAAGCTAAAAAAAAAATTATAACGAATTGTTCCTTGAAACCAACCAATGATCATCAACAGAGAGCACAGTGCAGAGCTTTAGCCTTTCAATCGCAAGTTCTGTAATAGGAACCGTTTACTTTTCTGTATCAATTTTTCGATGGCATATGAGTGCCTTCATCGGTCAAAAATTAATAATTAAGTCAACCTACCAAAAAGGTGAGACAGTCAAATGATAAGAATGGTTTTACTTATATTAATTACCTACATAAATTGATAGGGCAATCGTGAATCATATGACGACGGATTGTGCCCAGGTTATGCTGATATTCACGAATGCCCACTACCTGTGGATGTTGCCCTTGAAGGTAAATGTGCAAATTATACTATTAGGAAATTTATTTGAGACACCAAGACTTGCAATATATATATATATATATATATATATATATATATATATATATAGTTTACAAATTTGGGTGTATAGAGTAACAATTAGCTTTTCAAATATTTGACGCCTATCGTCATTTTAAGATTGAATTACCATTACTAAAACAATGTTTGCACTTTATGATATTTTAAAACACTTTCTGTTTTATCTGTTCTTTAAACACCCCCTGTTTCTCATATCAGGTTGGGCTTATACTCTATTTAATCTATGATGTTCTTGGAGTTTCTGCCCTTTTTGCGTCGACTATACTGCTGGCTGTTGCTCCAGTACAATATACAATATCACGAACCATGAGCCACCTCCAGACACGCACCATGGTAGGTTTAAAGTTATGAGTACCGTGCGCTCTGGCGACACATGTCATATTATGTTGCGCTCTGTCGCAAAACTATATATATATATTGTACCTTTGTGCGGCATTTAATGTTAATGCATGTATATATATTAACGGTAAGCTTCTTGTTACAATATTCAATTGAGTCAATGCGCTCGGTTGATCAAACGCAACAGGTTCATGTTGTTGGAAAACTGTTTGACAACAAGATGTCGTTAAATTCGGTCAAATAAATAAAGTTATGATTAAAAAATAAATACATAAATAAAGATGTAAAGGAGCTTCATTTATTTTCTTTTATATTTTGAAGACAATTTCTGACGAAAGAATGAAAAAGACAACAGAGCTCATTCAGGGTCTCAAGCTTCTAAAAATTCTTGGATGGGAGCAGACCTTCGTTACGAAAATTCAAGAAATTCGCTCCCTTGAAAGGCAGCTCCTTCAGAAGGACGCATTTTGCGCTGCCATGAACAGTGAGTAGCGTTTTTTTTAATTAGAATTTTCTCTGACCCCCATAATCATACAGTAAGTCATTGCGGAATACTCATATGATTAGGTCTCCAAATGATCTAGAAGATTGTCACGATTTTCATTATTTGTTGTGATTGACTGCAGCGTTCCTGACAATGCTATCATCGGTTCTGGTTCCCCTCATATCGTTCGCTTTGTACACATGGCTGGGGGGTCACCCGTTAGAAGCCGGCGCAATATTCGCTTCTCTATCATTATTCAACCAACTTACTTTGCCGCTATTCATTGTTCCGTTTGCTATTCCCGTTTTAATCTCAGCTGCTGTATCGACGCGACGTCTTGAGGAGTTCCTTAGTCGACCGGAAATAGAGACTGCTGCACCGTGGAGTCCGGGGGAACCTAAAGCGTACCAGGAGTTAATATTGGCACAGGTAAAAACAACTATGCTTGATTGAATCGATACATTTATGTAAGACATGAACAGACTAGACAATCCTTGCTAGATAAGCCGACCTCTCATAATTACGTTCTAATGGTGTCGATTCTGTAGAATGATGACGCAGATACAGTAACGACTTACGCTGACAGCACTGGACCAACCACCCGAAATTTCGTCAGCATCACAGGTGGCACTTTGGAGTGGAGCAAGGGCTCTGAGGTACTAGGAGATCTCAATCTGAAGCTTCCTGCTAGTAAGTTCACAGTCATCGCAGGAACTTGCGGATCCGGAAAAACGACCCTGCTCAGTGCAATATTAGGCGAGCTCGAAATGGCTAGAGGCAACATTGAATGGCTAGAGTAAGTATGAAAAGAGCTTTATCATGATCTGTGCCTGCAAAATAGGTAAGAAGGTATTTTTATTATATATATATATATATATACATATAATTAATTATTAGTAGGTCATTTGATTACACCAGTTCTTGGACATATTTTTAGCAAACAAAATAATCGCTATTAAAAGAAGCATATATTTTAAAGAAAAATATGCAATACGAAATTAGAGCATTGTATCTATGCCTGTATACATAATTTACAGCAAAAGGATGACCTTCGTTGCATATGTTCCACAAAAGCCTTGGCTTATTAATACGACACTGCGAGAGAACATTACCTTTGGGGCACCGTATGACTATCGGCGCTACTGGAAGGTCATTGAGGCATGCGCACTTGAGGCGGACCTTGATGCGTTACCTGGGAAAGATCTAACCGAAATCGGCGAAAGAGGCGCAAATCTTTCTGGTGGTCAAAGACAGAGAATTGCAATTGCGCGTGCTGTCTATTCGGAGGCACGACTTGTTGTTCTCGATGATCCACTTAGTGCGTTAGACGCCCATGTTGCTCGAACGGTCTTCGAGAATGCCATTCTTAAGCTACTCGTTAAAAAGCGCAGGACCGTGGTAATGGTAACCCAGAAGAAAGATCTATTACCACACGCTGATCATCTGGTGTTGTTGCATAGGCGTAGAATATGTGCCCAAGGAATGTATGAGGTAAACAAGGAAAATGCACGCAAAGATGTTGATTTCACTTTCTACCAGCCTTTAGTAGTACTAACTGAAAGCTCGTGCATATTTTGCGTTTTTTGACCTGTTAGCTACAGTAGGTTAGGTATATCGTATGCTATCCCTGACAGCTTAGTGGATAACACGTTTTTCTGTTAATCTTGGGAACAAACGATGGCCTAGGTTCGAATACGGACGTAAATATACACCATTTGCTGGAATGTTTCACAACGATGCCCAGGACGCACAAAAAAATTTCTCAGGCACATAGCATCACGTCAGTTGGGATAATATAGGATGAGCTTAATAAAAGCTTAAAAATGCGACATATTATACGATTCGAGTCAGGTTTATCAACCCTATTACCAGAGCTAAGGTATTTCCTACTATGTTAACCAAATGCATCCAAGTGATTTATGTATGATAATGTTTTGAGCTTTTTTGTATGGCTTTTTGTTATGGACTGCTGATTATCGCTTAAGGAAATTCGTGTAAAGAAACCAGAAATGTTTGAGATGCTTGACTCTGAAGGTGATTCAGAGCCATTGCCTCCACCTGTGGCGCCTCGACGGGACTCATTGAGGGCTCGTTCACGTTCCAAGCGAAGAATGTCGTTGACGGAATCAATGGAAAGAAACCTCGACACTGTTTACCACATACCCCGGCGAATGCAGGAATATGACCAGGGCAACGTGAACGTACTCGACCATGCAAGTTGCGAAGCAAATCGTCCTGGTACCGTAGCGAAAACACAACATATGATCATCTATTCGTTAGCTTGTTTGTATTGTTTCCTATGTATGTATGCTTATATCTTATATATGCTTATATATATATATATGCGTATAATCATATTAGCGTCAAATCGACAAAATAGCTAGTTGCTGAATCATTTTTTTTGTGAATTCAACAATCTGGGTGAAATATCATGAATAAAAAGTACATAAATAAAACTTCCTCCAACGATAAATATGATTGGTTATGGGATCAAGTTAGAAAATTGAGAAGGGTAGTAAATTTGCGCGCAGTGCATTCAGCATGCTTAGTTTAACATGCCCTCGCTCGGCGATTTCTATAACGATTAGGATTGCTTTAAGGCGAAGATCATTTTTGTAACTAAATATTAGGCTTCTCCTAAAAGGGATAATAAAATATTAGCAAACAAGTAGTATATATTAGAGTAAAAACTATTCGGAAAATAACTGGAATAGTTTTTGTATCGGCAAGCAATTATATGAAGCTACGAAAAAGGAGAAAAACTGAATTCCTTTTTTTGCATGGATCTGTCGATTAGCTTCTGACTTGCTAATTTGATGTCTAGTCGGATACTGAAATGTATCGGAACAAAGAAACTTCGGAAAAAAAACCTTTGTTGTTAAGGCGACCGTGCTTAGTGAAATCTTCCTAGTGGAAGGTTAAACAGTTGAAAGCTTATGACCAAAAAAGACCATTCTAGTGTTGTCAGGGGATCTGGAAAAGGCAACATTACCTTTACGATGGCCAACGGCTGATAGAATAGTAGGCACGGACCCGGAAACGGAAATTATTTCCATAGAAAAAGCGTTGCTTTTTATGCTAGTTAAGAAAATAAGGACACTACATTTATCGATTTTCAATAAAATTGCCCTATTATATATTCGTTTCCTAGTGCTGTGTAATTTTATATATATATTAATATATATTATTAATATTAATTATTAATATATATTTTATATAATATATTTTAATGCAATAATTGCGGTAAACAAACCTGACCACATATTTATGTGTGGAGATATAGTGATCTTACTTTGCAAAATGTAGGTTTCGCCTAGTTTAGTATCTTGTACACTGTATTTTACTTTTGTTCAATTTTAGATCGACGCCCATCAGTAGCGAGTGGATGTCAGAATATGGCGCTGGACGGTTCCGTTTCTCCAAGTACAATAAGACGAGCCTGCACGAACGTTTCTGCATCGAATCATGAACAAGGTATTGTGATTGTCTGTATGGCTATTCACTATTTTTATTTTTCATCTGGTATTTTCTTTCAACATCGCCCCATAGTCCGTTGTTTTCGAGATTGTAGATACAAAACACCTGACATACAAGGGATACACCGTATTATTTTGCTTCAAAATTTATAAGCTAACAAAGATAAACAATATATAAATTATGCATATGCCATGTAGATATAAGTCACTTGTATTTACCTTTCGTATGCAGTTTAAATCAGTTACACATCTCCCATCCGGAACATCAACACTGTTCAACACTATTTGTCAACAATGTGCTTCATATTGCTTCCCGTGGTAAGCAATAAAGTTTTATTTGTATGCGTCTTCTACTGTGTAATATATTATGAATGACAGGATGATAAAGATGTATTCGCATACTGCCCTATGAAGAGCTTAGGCATTACCTCTACAACGACTTCACTTGAATGTTCACATCGAGTATCCTACATAATGTGCTTGTAACTTCAAAGAATGTTTTCATCAGTTCTGCATTGAATCTACTACAATTTCACGTTTCAGTGAAGGAGGCAACTGCGCTGTTGACAAGCAAACAGGCGCTCCTAAGTTATTCTGGCAATCAAGAATTCGGCCGTCTGACCGAAAATGAGGATCGCTGCGAAGGCTCGATCTCATTGAGCGTTTACGTCGGTTACGCGCGAGCTTGCGGCCTGTTAGCCGTAGCTTTAACTGTATTCTTTTTTGCGGATATGCAACTAACTAAAATGGCTAGTGATTTCTGGCTATCAGCGTGGTCTCATTTCAATCGCAAAAGTACCGCCGAATTGTCCAAGGATGCAATTGAACGAAAAAACTGGGAATATTTGTTTTACTACGCTGGACTCTTACTTACCAACGTCGCGTTTGCATTCGTAGCAAATCTTGTTGCTCAACTCACGACGGTCGCTGCCACAAAGCCGCTTCACGATAGGATGCTTAAAAGGTATCAAAGCAAACAAGAGTCGTATGCTCTGACCAAAGCTGAAATGATTTCAGACTTCACATAGTCCGTGATTGATTAAAAATATGAATTATTAAAGCACTGTTTTATTATTTGATCGCCCTATCAACTAATCAGACATGCCCGTGTATTGTTTTTATATCTCTTTTTTTTATGGTTCGTCTTTGATTTCAGCGTCGTTGCATGTCCACAATCATTTTTCGATCAGAACCCTGTTGGACGTGTCCTAAATCGTTTTGCTGGAGATCTGAACGTCGTGGATCGGAAGTTGCCCATAAGTTACCCTGTACTTATCCGCTTTATTCTGATTTGTCTGTCTGTGGTACTTGTTAACGTAATAGTTACCCCCGTGAGCTTTGTTTTCATCAGCATTAGCTTCGGTGTCTATTGGTACCTACAGCATTTCTTCAGAGCCAGCTCAAGGTAACTATTAGCCGATATTGTTTTATTTTTTAACTCTTTTTGCATTTATAGTTGGTTGGTAACGCCACTTTACACAACCACTAATAAAGATAACCACGTGTTAGCAGAGATGGCTTATTCTTGTACTACTATAATTGTCACTAGCCTCATAATGAGATACGTTCAAGTTTTTAATAAAATTGCTATTTCCACCTTTGTTACACGGGCTCCTATTCGTTCTTTTTTGTTTATGGCGTCATTAGAGAGCTGCAACGTTTAGAATGCATCACACGATCTCCAATCGTCTCGCACTTCAGTGAAACCTTAAATGGACTTCATACGATCCGTTTGTACGGAAGACAGGCAGGTTTCGTTCATCGACTTCATGAGCTGATCGACGCAAACAATCTCGCCGTCGTTATGCTAAACTCTGCTAACTGCTGGCTCGGAGTATCTCTTGATTACCTTGGTGCTGCCATCCTGTTTCTAGTTATTACTACGAACATAGTGGCTGCTCTCGCGGGATACATCGCCCCGGCCGATGTCGGTAAGCTTTGTGAATTTGCAGTTTTCGTCAATTCAGTAATTAAAATCAAAGAGCTTATTTCGGGCAAAGTGTGTCCGAACCTTATCAAAATGAACATTCCTATTAAAGCCTTTGCACAAACAACGTTCTGCCAGTGTCCGAACAAACTGTTGGTCTGACCGGCGTCGTTCTCCCGATGCCAGAGCTCATGCCAGCTGTGTATACCGGCGCTGCGATTTTCCCACAGTGTATACTTGTTTTCAATGTGTTTGCTGTTCTTTAGGATTAACGATGACGTATACGCTCCTAATACCACAGTATCTGAACTGGGTTGTAAAGAACATGACACTTGTGGAGATGTATATGAGTTCTGTCGAACGAATCGAAAACTACGTCAGGCTGCCCTCGGAAGCTGCATATCGAGAAGAGCAAGCCAAATCCAGTCAGCTGATCCCGTTTATTTCCATTGGTGGTCCGGGCAGTCCAAGCAGCCCTAATTATGCGAGAGCACGATGGCCACACTCTGGTGGAGTGGCATTTGAAAATATTACTCTCAAATATGACACTTCGAACCAACCTGTGCTTAATGGCGTCGACATAGTCATTAAACCTGGGGAGAAGGTAAACGTAAAAAATGTAGGGAAAGATTTTTGCGTTAATTTAATTATTATTAGCGATTGTTTTGTGATAAGAAGATTAATGATATTGCACATGGATTCTTTGGATGCGAAAGATCACCTTTGATCTAGCCATTGTTTGAATAAATAATTATCTTTGAACTAGTCTTTTTCAATGTACTAATCACATTTGTAGTAGTATCACATTTGCAATCTTTACTCAAATGTATGCGGCTAATTATTAGTTATCGTGTCCCAAAATGTCTAGGCACAAAATTATTGCAGTGAAATATTGAATTTGTTAAAAAATATCTAATTAGTAGATATTCGATTTGGTTTGTTAACCCCGTATGCGATCTGATGAAACTGCTTGACTTCGATACTTCCGCTAAAGATTATCTGCTCACTTCAGACACATCTATTGAAGAATATCATTCGATACATTTAATTAATTATAGGTGGGCATCTGCGGCCGATCAGGTTCGGGAAAGTCTTCCCTTGTGATGGGCCTTTTCCAGATGGTCCCTTTGACACAGGGTAACATCCGTATCGATGGTATAGACCTCGCTAAGGAAGATGTCCACGAAGTCAGGTCCAGACTATCTATGATACCTCAAGATCCAATACTCTTTGAGGGATCAGTCAGGTTTAACCTCGACCCTGAAGGAATTTATTCAGATGAGGAGCTATTTTCAGCTTTAGAAAAAGCTAATGTCAAAGACATTGTTATTGAAGCCGGCGGATTAGGTAAGCGTCTGCCGTTGTTTGGTATAAAATAATTTTCATGACAATATATATTTGGTTTATTCCTCTTTGAGGTGAGTATGTTACTGTAAAAAAGCAGTCAGCTGTTAATGGCTAGAATTCGTTTGGCAAAAGTTGTGTCTTAAACGACAAAGAATATCACATGGTTCCGAAATGAAAAACGTGTAGAAATCCGAAACTTGAGTGTCTTTTTATCTATGAAGATAGAAAACAGACATTGGTATACTTAAAGAAACGACAAAGGTTTAGTCAAAATTGGCTTGACCTTAGTTGAAAGGATTTATTAATCGTCAACCTCGTATCTCGTTTAACATGTTTGCACTACCAACAACCATTTATGGACATTTCATGTACTACGTTCCTGCAGATGCCGAAATTACAGAAGAGGGTTCAAATCTAAGTTCAGGGGAAAAACAGCTATTTTGCTTAGCACGGACAATTCTGCGTCCCTCGAAAGTCCTTGTGTTAGATGAAGCTACATCCTCATTAGACGTTTCGCTAGAGGATAAAATGCTGGAGATTATACAAGATGTTTGGAAAGATGCAACAGTAATCGCAATTGCGGTTAGTATGATCTCTTTGCGTTTCTCAAAATAGGTGATCTAATTAAACACTGCTAACTTCAGTGACTGATTGCTCTTCAAAAAGTCGATTGCAATTCACCTACCTTCTAAAGTTAAGCTGTGTAAATATATGTGGTGCATATTAGGCATCACACCAGACATCTGCGTTTCAAACCGTAATACGGGCAAAAAAATAATTTATATGTTCCCCTGTCCCTGATAGTAAATCTGATACTGCTTTCATACAACCTGGGGGCATCTTTTGGATCACAAATTTACAAGCTTTCTATTGAGCCAAAAGGTAATTGAATATCAGTCGTTGACTGCTGTGATGAATCAACAGGGTGTCGATGAAATCCCGAAATCTGTAAAGGTGGGCAGCAGATGCCCTTCATTAATTAGAAGAAATATAAATTACTATGACCTAACTAAACATTCCGCTTGAAGTAAAATTTAGGCTTTCTTAGCAGCCCTGTTCAGTAGCTCTTTTATGTGTTTTATAAAACCAGTGTTTTCCCTATATGCCCTTGCAGAATATCGGTGTACTCATCTGCAGCGTCATTTAGTATATACCTGTTCTATGAATTTTACAGCACCGCGTGACATCAATTGAGCGATTTGACCGTGTAATCGTTATGGAACAGGGTTCGATCGTCGAAGAAGGCGATCCTAGGATGCTGAAAGAACAGGAAGGCTCACAGTTTAGAGCACTTCTTCAATCCTACAAAGCCGCTACTGAAAAAAAAAAGGATCACTTATAATTTTTGAAGTAAACAAAAGTGAGCTTCTTACTAATACTTAATAAGATATGATGCTAAATTTTCCCTCCAGCGTTATGTTAAGCCAAGCTATAACGCATCTTAATTAATATATTTCACACTTTTGGGTTACTTAACTACGTCGTTAGTTTATTACAAATAAAAACATCCAAAGTGCTTTTAATCTAAATGATAGTTAGTCGTCTTAAGTCTAAGGCGATAAATTCTACGCATAAATTATACGAACGAGGACGAACCGATACCTTGTCGCAGCACAGACGAGCAGAATGTCATAGATAACCTTAAAAAACGACTTACTTAAACGTCAAACGGAGTTATTAGGGTGTTTACAGAAGCTCACTTTAAGACTGGGTGGTTATATTCTAAAGTAACAATAACAGAGCTCCAGGAAAGGTATTAAACTTTGGATCAGGGCAGAGCTATAGTGGCTCTTTAAAATGGCTGGAACATCCACTTGCAATATCGAATTTATGTATGTAAATAAAATTAACACTTTGCAACTAGTACTGCACTTCTTCTTTATTGAAATCCTTATTTTAGTCAAATAAATGTATTATGACAAGCATAGATATGTGGTGCTTCTAAAGGATAATTACCAATTACACAGCATAAATAACTGAACCATAACGTACTCTTCTCAAAAATTATTCTATTAAGCGTAAATATGCTCAAATTTTTATGCGTTAATATCTCATTTGTAAAACACATATATTTTTAATACAGATATATTATAACCGTTAAGCTATGTAATTATCGTTTAGTATTTTAAATTTACTTGACTGAAACAAGTCATATATAGCCTGTTTTTAATTAATTTATTATTATTGCTTAACATTTAATTAGGTTAAACTACGCTCTTAAATATTTTGTGCTCGTCACTTTGCATAAGAGATCTGGTCAATATATTTAGGGCATTAATTACTGGAGAAGCGATCATAGACGGTATAAACCTGACTCAAGGTCTTCGTTGACGAACGTAATAACAATGTAAAAATGCACCAATGTCCTATGCATTAAAGTGAAACTTGCATATGCATAGCACAACATAAACATACTTTAAGTATTATTTATTATTTAAAAAAAAAAATAACATGCACTAAGTAGACACCGAAACATTTTTGGTGGATCCGTCACTTTGTGGGGAATATTTGTCTTATTTTGAGCAACAATCGTACATTTGTAATGTCATTTGACAACGTGTATACTGGGCAAGCTTGCTATAGAAGAATCTCAAGGTATCTACCATACAAAAACTTGTTTGCATATATGTGAGTTATAAAAATGTGGAAACACAATTTCTGGAGTAAAGGAATTAAAAGTCAGCCCGCACAATCGGACCCGTGTTTGTTAGAAAAGCACATCATGAAGCATAAATACAACATCTTCTAAAGTTTTTTAAATGATCTTTTAAAGGAATGTTTGAGTAAGCAAATTTAGCAAACAGATATTGCTAATAATAATAGTATTATGTGATATATACTTGCGTGTGTTTGTATGAACCATCCATTGATGTCAAAATAGCATGCTTTATCGACAAAAACAAAACATTGTATTGCGATCTTTTTAGGAATTAGAAAAACCGAAAGTATCTAGGAAATAGAAAAAGTAAGTAGCGGCATGTTGGTCGAAATTTAAAACACAATCCGACTATTTTCATGTTCAACAGCCTGTCTTGATGATAGGTTTCTACACTAGAATGCACCCAAGAGAAACGAGTAAAAGTCGCTCTAGGTGAACTAATCATGACAATTAAACATTATGCTTATCAATTATCAGTAATGACATAATATACCATACGGGGGGTGGGGGGGGGGCATAAAGTGGATAAAATATTCTAACCTTCGACAATCCTCGCAATTATAAACTATATGCATGCAAAGGAAGGAAGCTAAACAACTTAAATTTTATTTACAAGAAATTTATTCAGCTTAATTTCCACAGCAAATTACTGCTTAGAAGTAACACTGAAACTAGTAACGGCAGATCTTGCTTGACATATTTTTAATCATTATCTAAAGTCTACGCGCATAGACGACGCTTGAAATTATTTGGTTTACATTTTTATTTGTCATTTATGAGGTTAGTCCAGCGAACTAGCGCCCACAAAGAATTAATAAGTTGGTTGAAGTGTACAATAGGGCGCTATCTAGATTGGAAGAACATACTGACTTATGCGAACATGACTAATCTATACGTCACTCGAAAACTGAATAACATATTCTATCAGGGATATTGATTTTGTTGTAATAATATACTCTATGCATTCGGCAGCGGATAGAGCAGAAATCGATGGCTACATGACTACGTGTCATTTTAAACGAATTGTAACCTAGTTCCGTTTTGATTGAGCTGCCACACGTTAAGCTCTTCGTATTCCTCGATAGCCTTATCGAAATCTCCTTGCTTGATACCCTTTGATATACAAAGATCAAGCAGCTCAGATATTTTTGCCGAACTTGAGCCAGACGAGGAGGCGAATTCTTGGATAATTTGGTAAACGCGATCGACAGGAGTCTGAAGACGCCTGGCGCCTGCTCCTTCGACGCGGTCGTGTAGTGAGGCCTTGGACGATTCCATCAGACGCAACGCTTCATCAACATCCTCTTTCTCGACTTGGTCGCTAGTACGCAGGCGGGCGAGGGCGGTAGCCAAGCGCAAAATTGCTAACAGAGTCCTGGGCGACATGAAAGTGGAATCATTCCCTCCACCACGAGCCTCCTTTCGCACCTCAACATAACCACGAACAATGTACTCAGTTAGGTCTTCAGGGACGAAAGGGTCAATCTTTTGACAGGTCGCGATGTAACGGCGCAAAAGGCGCATGTCCAATGGCCTGAAATTGAGGGGCGGCTCGCTGCAGTTCTTGTGCACGAACGTAATATGGGCGGCTAATCTCTGGTCAGCTTCACGGTCAATCTTGTCCTGGATGAGGTATAGCAAATCGAAACGAGAGAGTAAAGCGGCGGGAAGATTAACATTCTGCTCAATCGTACGCTTCGGGTTGTAGCGACCGTACAACGGATTGGCCGCAGCTAGAATCGACACGCGAGCGTTCAGGGTTGTCATGATGCCAGCTTTGGCAATGGAGATGGTCTGTTGTTCCATAACTTCGTGAATAGCCGTGCGATCGGTTTCGTTCATTTTGTCGAACTCGTCAATGCAGCAGATACCACTGTCAGCTAGGACTAGTGCACCTCCCTCCAAAGTCATCTCGCCGGTAAGCGGATCCTTCATGATACATGCCGTCAGACCAACACCAGAAGAACCACGTCCTGTCGTGTATTGGCTACGTGGGCAAAGACGTGTGACGTATCCGAGCAGTTGTGACTTAGCTACTCCAGGATCTCCCATGAGACACACATTGATCGTGCCACGAATGTGCATACCTTCAGCCGGTCGCTTGTCAACACCTCCCACTAGCTGCAAGAGAAGGGCCTTTTTCACATCGACGTGGCCATAAATTTCGGGGGCTATCGAACCAGCCAGTTTATCAAAAAGATCGTCCTGTTGAATCGCCTCCATTTCTTCATCGCTTAATGGCTCCTCCAGAAGTTCGGCAGCCTCTAGTTTATTCATGCGAACAATGCTGTGAGCTTCAACATAGGTGTCTGATAAAAGACCTGAAACTAGCTGACGGAAACCGGCCTTCAGCATTGGAAGGTACACGCCGGTAATTGCGACGTGATCACCAGGCTGGCATTGACGGGTGTTTTCTCCGCGAGCGTACACAACCGTGGTGCGAGGCACGTCTCCAACCGGAACTTGATCACTATGTTCTTGGATGCGGATCTCTTGGAACTTGATGAACTTCGAGCCACGAGTCTGTAATGAAAGTTTTCCTCCGGTCTTATTCGTGCGGCAATCCTGTGAAGGACAGGTTTCGATAGGTGTGAATTGAGTCGAGTTGATCGGCTGGTACGTCTCGGCTCCACACTGGTCACAGATATACGTTGCTACAGACATCAGCGGCTTGACTTCGGTACAGCGCGTTACCACGCCTTTGACACCGACCAATTTGCCAATAAGGCGTGCTTTCAACTCCCGTACTGATATCAGTTTGTGTTCGCTAGGAAGTTTGAAGGCAATTTCGAAGCGCTTGAGCAATTCCGGCGGGTAGTGATTGCGTGGATCGCGGACGGGATCTCCGGGTTGTCTCTGTCGAGCCTCAAGCATTATACGATGCTCAATGTAAATATCAAGTGTGTCCTTAGGTAACGTGTCTCGGGTTTTCATCTGTGGCAAAAGGTCATATACCGCATCGGAAAAAACTCGCTCATAACGATGCGCGTTGTCAATGATGGCCTCGCTTAGTTCGGCATCAAACTCGTTGATATCATCGAGACTGATTGTGAGGCCAACCTGTTCCCTGTGAGCGATGTCCCGCAATTGGTCAGCGTAGACACGCACTTTTTTGCCGCGATCATTGCGTATGGTGAAATCTGACAAGAAGCTTGTAATACGCTCTGTAAGAGTAGCAGAGGAACATATACAAAAAGTTATATAAAGATATTTTAGAATATTGTAATGGCAGGCCTACTCTGTTGAGACGACGGCCAAACATTAGGCCACACTACTTAATGTAAAGCTAAATGCATATCTCAAAAAGTAGACTTAATTATAGCCTAACCTTCTTATAAATATCAAGGATTAGATTGAACAAAGATAAAAACAAATTTATTGATTCTATAGATTTATGTATCTTACAATAGAATGATTATACGTTGTATCGCATGAGGCATAAAGCGTTTAACAGCAGAACTCTCATTTGCTTTGTTACGATGGCCCGTACTTTTCTTAAAGGCTCAAATTCGATAACAATCTAAAAAATTCGTTTCGAATGTCCTATTTAATGATATTCATAGGTAACTTCTGAGTATAAATAATATTCTCTTTTAAGAGCATTTAAATAAACGATGCTCAAATATGGAACGTGAAACGCTAAAAAAGGTGAGCACGAAGAAGCTTAAATGTACAAAGATATACCGTGCTGCTCTATAACAAAGCGTTACATCCTGAGAACGATATAGAAAGCAATATACTTTGCCAATACACGTTACCGAATTCGAAAAGCTGGTCTCAGTTTTTTTATAGTATGATAAAATCTAAAAAATGTTAGCATTTTGATAAAACTCACCTTTTGCTTGAGCGTAATCCCTTGGGTTAAACTTTCCCGTATCTGTCATTTTGTGCCAAAGTTAACAATAAACAGTCTTTTTTTTTGCTAAATGCGCAATATGCACTGAAATTGCGGATCAGCGCTCCCTACTGATGACCGGTTGTAAGGCGAACTTAGCTTGGCGGCAAAATTTTGGCGGGTTTTCCGTAATGTCTGCTAAAACATCACAAAAGCACCAAAGCGCCTGTTGGTATGGTACCACAAACAAATGTTTGTAAAAAAAGCTGCACTGACGATTGTGGAAAAGTAGATCTGTCTGATCGGATTTCTACAGGAACATGTGTACATGCTAGAGCGCTATGAGAATAAGTATGCTAGTGGCATATAGTTGATCTGAAGTTTTTATGGCTTAATTTCGAATGTTTGTTTTATTCTTTTTTAAACTTATGACTTTATATGCCGTAAACAGGAATCCACTAGATTTTAAAAATAATTTTGCCTTTTTATAAATTTCACTGGTTACAACGACGTTTGGATATCGGGGATATTTGTCCGTGTCAGCTGAGTAGATTTTCAACACTCATCTACTCCCATCTCACCGATAGCAACATTCGAATAGATGTGCTGTAGATGGTTTACGTTTATTTATCAAAACGATTAAGGTAAACGCTTACTGCCTACCGTTATTTTGACGTATAGTTATCTACTGTCTAAAATATTTATCTATTTCCTTGAGCAGGATGTGAAGATATAAAATAAAAATGGAGATAATACTAATTAGCAAAATTGAAATATATTTTTATTTGTTGTATATAAATATGAACTTAAATATAATGTTCTGTATACCAAACTGCTTTCCAACGCTAAAGAACTCAAAATTTAGATTCCGGAATGCTTAATTACCAAATGTACATAGCAGCAAACAGAAGACGTAAGTGCCTCCATCATAGGTGTGTTCCATAACTGAAAGGTTTGCTTGCTGATAATCTTCTATTTTATTATTATTATTATTGTCGCCTCAGCCCATTTAACGGCAGTAGTACACCCTCCAGTACTTGTTCACCCTCTTAGCCTAGTCCCCGTATCGGTTAGCCGCAATCTGGGAAGATGTATGTTACCGTTCAGACAGTCTGCGTTTTTTCCCTTTCCCAGCTATAGTGAGGGCGAGGAAAAACGTGAAAAGACGGCGTTGCTTCGGATTGCTCTCTAACTCGGCCAAACGCTCCTCACATTTCTCGCGTATGATAAAACACATCCTCAAAGATCACACACACGAACATATACTTAAGCATAAAATATAACTATCCAAGGGGGCTTCGGTAATTCTGTAAATGTAGCTTGTGAATGCCCCAAAGCTATGTATATGTTATGACTTTAGTTAAACTATATTTAAAAAAAATACGGAACGGGCTGTGACTATTAATTTGAGGAATTGTGTTATTAAATAATCATTCAAGTACTTCACGTCTCGTCACTATATATTTTGACTTTGCTGCACTATATTATTTCCGCTGTATATTTTTATGAATTAATCTATATAGGTAGCCCTTTTTGAGGACGGCAACTTCAGTTGAACACGTATATGATCTGCCCAGTAGCCATGGGTCAATCAACTGAATTTACCTCTCAAATCGAACTTGGAACACCTGGCTCGCCGCATGCGGTTTTTTTACTGAACTTGAATAGTGGCACTTCAATTATGAAGTCAGACTGACCCTTATTCACCAGAGCGCTTCTAGGCCGCTGATAGTTGACACTACATTATTATTGCGCTATTACATGGACCGATAATTGGCACCGCCCCGAAATTTAGGTTTCTTTTTACTCCAATTACCACCTGATTGTAGGAACGGGCATCTAGTAGTAACGCGATGGACTGCGAGGATCGCCAGGCGAACAGATGAGGGTTCCCTTTCCCTCATCATGAAAATCATCATCTATCAAATCATTCCGTTTAACTCGTTACTATTTGGCGCCGTCACCATCAGTGAAACAGACGGAGCTGGCGACTGTCAAACGACGATCAAGTCACCAACTTTGCGCCGTCTGCCTGTTTGAAAACATTAGGGTTGTCGTCAGGATCACCTGTTTTCTATTTGGTTCTATTCCGTTCGTCAGTTCTCGTGTTGTCTGTGTTGTGTTGACTGTATATGTCGTTATTGAATAAAGCCCTGTTCGGGACACCCGGAGAAAATATTTTTATGGGAAGAACTCTCTACAGGGACCTGGGACTTTGTTGTCAGCAGGCTCAGGACGTTAGAAGTGGATGCGAGACGAGCTGGTGGACAAATCGACCGCCAACTTTTACCCTCTCGCTTATCCGTATTAGTGTCTAGGTTATTTTCACGGCTGGCCAATTTCATGCGCATTTATATGCTTCTCGGGGTAGGTCGTGGTTCGTTTTGTGTCTGTCTATGCGTGGTGATTTTTCGATAGTGTTTCGTTATTGGAGTGCTGCTGATACAGGATGGCAAGTGTTCTGTGCGTGTCGGGCTGTACGTTAAACCAATGGGCTCTTGATTTCACTGGAAACTACCGGCGGATCTTGGAGAGTAAGTGTAGAAAAGGATGTGCCGTTGGATAATGAGCCGTGTTTTCTAGTGCTAATAGAAATGTAGTAGGTGAATAGGAACAGTACTTCACGTTTTAGTCTGTTATTAAGAAAAATACAGGGTAGAATAATTTTACTCTCAACAATAGCCTGTTGTAAAAATGACCGAGTGTTTCCAGTCGATCGGTATCATCGTTAGTTAATATATTAATACTTGTGTCTCTACTGAACCAAAACCTACCTACGCTAGATATTATACGTGAAGCAATGGTGCGCTTGTTATGTTGAATAATATTTATATGGGTATTAACTGTGACGCATTTGCAGGTATAAAACGTGCGAAGGCTGCCGGTTCAAAGTATCGAAGTGGACCTGAACTTGAGATACCGTGAGTGAATTTTTTATCCAATAAGCATCAGTAGATGATCAACATCGGAAGCTGTATACCATTAAATGGCCATGTTTGAAACAAATGCGGCTTATAACGTTCGCCCCCAGGCAGAAGTAGACTGAAATATTCTGATTGTAAATGAGTAGGTGTTTGCAATAAAATTCGACCAGTTTACGGACTTCAAGGAAACGAAATACAGTTTTAATTCTGTTTTACAGGCTATCCCAAGTTACTTTACAGTATTGGCTAGTTTGGGTTGCCCCATGAATGTCTTTATAAAATCCTTATTTGGATTCGCCTTACTGTGTCAAAGTTAGCCACAAAGACGTACTCCCTTATAAAAATATTACTTTCTGTGAATTATCTTTTGCCGTATGTATTACAGAGGATAAGAAGTCGGAAACAATAGAAAGTTTTGTCTCTTCTACTAACAAAATAATTTGCAACTTCTCTCCACATCCATCTATGATTAACCCTTCTACATCATCCATTTACCAAGGAGGCTAAAGTCGATCATGTCAAAAAGTTTAGTTCTAGATTGACCTCTTGGAACCATTCAAGTGACTCCGACGTATTTTAGATATTTATGACATGTATCAAACCCTTGAATCAACGGGAGGAAATTTAACATATTTACGAAAGACAAGTCTTGAGGCTGAAACAGAGACATCAATTTCTTTAGACAAAAGAAACATGAGCAAACGTCGAATTAGATAGTAGATAATAAGACTGAAGATAGCGGAGTGATCATAAGATTTATTTATTTTCGCGCTCTTACTGTAAAAAATATAGAAGTAGCAATGTTTTCAGTGTTGTTATGTTATTAATATGCTAAACGCACTTCAATAGCTTTCAATTTATTATGGTCAAATAATCGTCAAGTACGATTACTCGACGGCAGCATTGATCATGGTAAAGTTATAAAAAGCTTCACACTTGCATACTGTGCATCCAGCTTTTTAATTGAATCCCAGCCGAGGCTAACTCTTAAGGCTTTATAACTTCGCATGAAAGCGTGTTTCGCTTCAAGAGAAAGTCGCTATAAGACACGCCCGCGACGGACAGGTAGAGCGTATGAATATAAAAACAAAATTGTTCCATAGAAATCAGTACCTAAGGCCTCACACTCCCTTTACCTGAAAATGTGCTGCACATACTGGCATCAATGGTTTGATTCATAAATGCCAGTACATAGAAAAGAATTTACAAAAAGCTTGATATTCCTGTCTAAAGATGCGAACAGATTATGATAAGTGCGGAATATTTAGAACTGTTAAATCATGCATAGTTCGATTTAGAATGCTTATTCTCTGATATGCTGGAACTAATTTGAATAGAATGAAATTATTCAGTTCAAGAACCCATTTCATATACCGTTGAATGCCTGTGATCACAAATCCCGCCATTCGTTACATTTTCCTCTTCCAGTGGCTATGGATGTGCGGATCATTTCTTCGAGTTCGACACAGAGCTCCATTCGTGGGAAGTTTTGGCCAAGCTTCTTGATGATTCGTCCACATTTGTAAGACATAAATTTTATGTCACAGTCGATACAGATTAACTTATCAGACCTACTATTTATTTCACAATTAATTCATATTGCTATTTCCGCCATTGTGACGACTGTCCGGTCTTAGATAGATTGACATTTTGCAGTTGTTTCACATATTTAATTGTATAAGAATATATAAACAAAATTTATTATCATTATATAATAATTACGTAACAAATTATTAAATATGTAATCATTTTTACACTTCAGCCAAATCGCATGTTATATATTTTCAGGATATTATATGCGATGTGGGAATGGCCGTATCTTTGCGCGGGGTTCTGTACAACGTCCGTGTCATCTTTCTTAACAAGAAAATTTTGCTTATTCGTCCTAAAATGACCCTATGTGATGACGGAAACTACAGGTATACATGTTATTATACTTGATTTTCGTCATCTTTTTGTACTTTCTATCAGGAACTCACAATTCCGAACCATGGAATGTTGTGGATTTAATTTAATTATTCACGTGTTCTGCGCAAATCGTTCGTTATAAATGAAGCATACTGATGAATATTTTAATAATGATTGTTAATAGTTTTCAAGCTAAATTTTGTATTTAATAGAATTTCTTTATTTTAAGAGTGCGGTCTTTGCCCAGTCGTTAACGAGGTGCCACAATTTTTTGATTCATTGTCGAGTTGAAAATTCAATACAGCCGACAATTTTTGTTGGCTTCTCGCTGTATCGAAGTGCTAATTGAATTTGTTCTTATAGAGAATCCCGGTGGTTTACACCTTGGCGATATCGAAAACATACTGAGGAATACACCCTACCGCCGATGGTGACTCGGCTTACCGAACAGGTCAAAGTTCCTTTTGGGGACGCTTTGCTCGAGACCAAAGATTCATTGATAGGCTATGAGATCTGTGAAGAGTTATGGAATCCGAATAGGTTGGTTGACGAAGCACTGTTAGTATCCACACATTTAGTTCGATTCTTGTTCTTTGAGTACTTATTAGATTTCAAAATGGTACATTGTAACATATATATATGATATCTACGGAATTACGCACAGTTTAGTTAAAAATTACCTCATTTATAGCTTAATTTTGAATAGCATTGAATTCATGCGGAAATTCAGGCTGAAACTCACGAAGACTTTCTCTATAGAATATTAGATTGGTCAAAGAAAAAGGACTTAAATTTGTATCGAACTCTTGTTTTTGCATCCTCTGATACTGAGCAATGATTGAGCATGTAATGCAAAAAGAAAATTGATCCGTATTTACATGTAGCAGTGGTAAAACGATTTGCCTAGCCTTTCTGTGTATATGAAAAGTTGTTACATGTAATTTTTTACCGATTTAAACTTGCAATTATAGCACAAACATTGACGCGTGCTTGTGTGGGGCAGAAATCATTTTCAACTCGTCCGGATCATATCATGAACTGCGAAAACGAAATCTCATCCGTGATCTGGTCGCATCTGCCTCATTGAAGTCAGCTTGTGTTTATGTTTTTTCGAATCTGCGTGGCTGTGACGGGGAACGCGTCTATTACCAAGGCTTGTCAAATATAACTATGAACGGGCGGTTTCTCGCTGTCGGCAAACAATTTGGTCTTGAAGAGGTATACGTTTTATAATCATATAGTTTCACATAAGCATGGCCAAAAAATCTTCTCACTTTGGCTTTGAGAAGACGAAAAGAAAAAAAGGAGAAATACGGCGTCATATTTTACAAATATTTAGCACGCCTAATGTATCCTTATAGATTACTATACCTAAGCATCTCTTGTGCGTACCATATTCGCTACTTTTAGGAAACAGATCATTCATTAAAAGCGAGATGTCAGATTATATTATTAATTAATGATTTTAACCAGCTTCTTGAAAATGCACTAATGTTTTTTTTATCGAAAAAAATCTAACAATGTAAAATTCACTATTGCCAACAAATGATTGACAATATCAAATTATTATAAAGGGTTTAATACCTACATCCGAAATAATATCAAGAAAAGGACTTTTTCAAAAGTAGGCTTCGTTTCAACAAGGACTTCTAAACATTTTTGTGTATATTCAAGCAAAAGATAAACTTAATTTTTTTTTTATTATTATCATCACTATTATTATGATTTTAATATTCCTGCTAGTTTCAAGTACGATGATGCATCAATGTTCACATAGCTTTTCCTTTTTTCCTAATAACAAAAAGTCAATTTCTGATGCATTTTGCAGGTCGAGGTAATAACGGCCAAGTTCTTCATCGAGGACATCCGAGCTCGACGTGCGATATTCCGTTCCCGAGGATGGGCTAGTACAACGATGGCCATGTACCCTCATGTCCGTGCAGATATTTACCTTGTTTCAAGCATCGGAGGAAGTGCTAATACACCTATTGAATGGCCAGAAATGGTTGCTGAAATGGAAATTTCTTTAGGACCTGCTTGTTGGCTATGGGACTATCTCAGGTAAGCACTTTCATGCATGTTCTTGTAACATAACAAATGGGGGTTTGAAGATTTGCTTTGTTTCCTTTGGTTTCGAAGGGTTCATTCTCTAACTTATTTTTATTTCCGCCCGTAGGCGTTCCGGTCAAGGCGGTTTCTTTCTTCCCCTGAGTGGCGGGGTTGATTCAGCCTCCGTGGGTACAATCGTGTATTCAATGTGCACCCTCATCGACGAGGCGATCAAAGCCGGCAACCAGGAGGTAAGTTGTATCTCTCAAGTGCTTTACCCTTGGGAGTTTACAATCGTTTATAAATATGATGAAAGACTTGTTCAATGCTATTTTCCCTTAGTTGGATAAATGAATGTTAGATACCCATTCTGTCGCGTAAAAAGCGTTCTCTTGCTCAATAAGTATTCATCCTCATTAAGCCTCGATAAACCCTATAATGGTCTGTATTATGAAGGTACTTGGCGATCTGCGAACTGTAATTGGCGACTCGAAGTATATGCCACCGGAAAGTAGTGGTGCACGAGAGATTTGCCAAAAATTGTTGTTTACTTGTTATATGGGTACTGAGAACTCCTCGCAAAAAACGAAATCGGCAGCGAAGAATTTTGCTTCTCAGATCGGCGCCAGCCATCAAAGCATTATTATTGATACCGCCGTCAGGGCGATTGTTGGTGAGTTCGCATTTAATATGTATATCATATGTGCATTAATATACGTATGAGTAATGGCTTAGTTTTTATATGCAATTGTTTTCACTTGGGACAAACAACGCATATTGAGGAGGGATAATAGATGCAAATTGACGAGCGTTGGAATTTACCATAAAGATTGCCAGCTAATGCTTATGTAATCGATTTGCTTCCTTTTTTCAACACACCATTTTTATCTATAAAATATTTCATAGCTTTTCCCATTGGTAGTAACGATTAATGATTCGCAACGAAAATCGTCTCCTCAAATAAATTTCGTGTTTGACTTTATTTTTCTAGATCAATAGATATGTGTATTAATTCTCGTTCTATGCGCGCTATATTTCCGTAGCAATATTTGTTAGCGTTATGGGTGGACGAGTGCCAAAGTTCCAGGCACACGGGGGCTCCACTCGTGAAGATCTTGCTTTGCAAAACGTTCAGGCGCGAGTTAGAATGCTTTTAAGCTATCTATTCGCGCAGCTCCTTCTGTGGGGAAGTGAACGGCCTGGGGGATTGCTTGTTTTGGCGACGGGTAATATGGACGAAGCACTCCGAGGGTATCTCACGAAATACGATTGTTCGAGCGGCGATATCAACCCTATTGGGAGCATCTCGAAGACAGATCTTAAAAAGTTTCTACGATTTGCTGTCGGCCACTTTAACCTTAACTCGTTGGAAGGTAATTCAAATACGCCTCGATTTAGAGATAAATAATCTATATTAATTTTTAATCTTTATTTTATTTTTAGTCAGACTAATATACGAATATATAGATTTACATTGTTCCAGTTTTAAGAACGATCACTGTTAACCGCATTCTGATTCTTATATGTGCGACTATGTTTGACATCGTAGGTTACGACACACATTTAGATCAGTACAACTTAAGGTACATTTTTTAATTAAAAAAAATCATCGTGACGTTTATCAAGCTGACTTCTCATTCAGTAAAATAGTTCGTATCTCACATCTAACGTGTAATTTATGCAAATTTATAGAATAAGATTAACGCTGAAAGCATTTTCTCTAACATAGGTGCCCTTGATTGGTGTTCCACAGGCATTTTAGATGCTCCTCCGACGGCCGAGCTGACACCTCTGCGCGAAGGACAAGTGGTGCAAACTGACGAGGCCGATATGGGCATGACGTACGCCGAATTGTCGACATATGGCAGCTTGCGAAAACAACATGGCTGTGGACCTCTCGCTATGTATTTGCGAATCACCGCTGAGGAGCCCTCGGCAAGACCTGCGGATGTTGCTAGGAAAGTTAGTACAAACAGAACTGATTACCACTGCGTCAAATGAGATGGCTAATGGAGTTACTAAGTATTGCATTTTAAATGTTGGATAGACAAGCGAGCGGTGCCGTAAAACTTGGCAGCTGAGTTGATAAGATTCATTCGCTATAAACATTTTTTCACTAAGTAACTAGTTCGAAGTCCAGTCAAAGGCACGCGCCACAAACGGGTATGAGATGCCACAAAGCTTCGTACTAGCAATCTGAGATTTGTTAGCCCACTAATGCATCTTGGCTATTAAAATAATTTTCAATAATAATAATTTTCAAAAAAATGCTAGAATACTCAATAAATCCATTTTAGATTTTTAGAAAGAGACTCGTTTAGGTCCAATGCAATAGCATTAGGGCTTACAGATATTGTATCATATCCTGAAATATTGATATTAATACAACGTGTTTCTTACCTGTTGGTATTCAAGGTTAAACATTTCTTCAAAATGTACTCAATTAATCGCCACAAGACAACTGTATTAACGCCAGCATACCACGCTGAAAGTTACAGTCCCGACGATAACCGTTTCGATCATCGACCTTTTCTTTACAATCCACAGTGGAAATGGCAGTTCAAGAGTATTGACCGCTACGTTTCACAAATGGCGATTTCATCTCACCCTCGGACGCTACTTTCATCTGGAAGTCTCAGTCGGAAGCCCGAGCTTGTTTAATTTGTGTATGTTTTCGTCTTCTCAATGTTGAAATCTTAACTTTCAATCAATTGGAAATATTTTTATTCTTGCCACAAAGGCAAAAGTTTTTAAAGCTTTTATTTGACTTTATTCAGACTGCGTAATTCTTTACTTCCTGTAGCGGTTATTATATACTGCTCAGTATCACAAGGGCGATGAGACCACCTTTTTTCTCCTCATCTTTCTATAAGGAAATAGCAGCAGTATGACAAGATATATTTATGGTTGTTTGTTGTCGGTGTGTAAAAAAAATGTTAATTGAGCTAATTAGCGTCCCGGTTGTGCGAGTTGTCTGAGTATAGAACGAGGACAAATAAAGTTTCTCATAGACAAACCGGACAATTATACTCGGCTTTGTATGTGCAATAAGAGTCGAGATCCGTTCCTATAACAAGGAGGAAGTGAGTGAAAACGACGAAGAGATTGTCGTATGGGGTTGTGACATCCCCGTGCCTGTTTTTTGGTCAATGAGTTAGTTTTTCTCTGTTCATAAATATAGCGCAAATCAAATGTTTGCCTATTTATGATTTTTAGGCACCATCGGCCCGCCGGTGTATTTTTGTGTCAGTGATACGAACACTGCCAAGAACGCAGTATATAGAAGACATATATATATATATATATATGGTGTTGGGACAAAATTGATGTTGTCTTTCAGCTGCATCTAAATGAAAACAATAAAAAAGAACGTTATCGAGACGAAATTTTTTGCATATGCAAGCAGAAATAAGCCTGACAAGCGCGTTTATTTACTATGACTGCCACTTTGAGTTTCTCGAAAATCTAAAGATATAAAAAGTGAAAAAAATCAAAAGATGCGAGCGAGCCCAGAAAGGCGAGCCGTTGTAGCCTATATAAACAACCGTATAAACAATTATCACTTGCCGAGCCTCTAGTATTTTCGGATTATAAGACATGGCTTTCTGTTTTCTTTTTGGTAAATTTTTGATCCTTTTAGTTTTACCTCTACTCCGGCTCTGGTGGTCTAGGAAGAACGGTTTTCTTCTAGTAGTAATGACGAATCAGAATGCCCGATACGACTAACAGCTCACAAGATTGCGCCACAATTTATCCCGTACGCTCTGTATATGTATAATAGATATGTATCTGAATGCTTGATATTGTTCATTTGACGCACTGTTACGAACCATTGTTGGTGAGGGTTATATAAATGATTAACGCCTTGTCAAAAAGACATTCATTCTCCAAAACAAAATGCCTTATTTAAACGAGTATGTTAAACAGATAAAGTGCGACGGGATCGTATGAGTTACTATTAGCATTACTAAAATAAATAACGTGTTACAGAATAAAGGCTCAATTATTTTTTGCAGTAATCGCTTTCAACGGTTCTAATTATTGCTATTTTGCAAGCATTACCTCTATGATTCTTAACCATCTACCAGGCCATCTCAAAGACGAAACAGAGTTTTATTAATATTTTTGTTTGTGCTAGAGAAAGTAATTTAAGGAAACTGATGCTATTCTTAATAACAGTCTGGCTACTTAATATTAATCTGAAAAACGAAAAAATGTATGACAACTCTAAATAGTATAGCAAAATGTGCTGTTCCTAGAAAACCTCTGGTATTAAAAAAGAGGCCGGAATAAGATGAAACTGGATAATTAAAAAAAATCCGTTTGAAAAATTATAATAATTTCACGTGCTACAGAAGAACGTGACCGTTTTCGCTTCTTAAAAAAATTAATTCGTTACCGGTATGATTGTTTGTTTAGGACCTAAGAGTACAAAAACAGTCGTCGAATCGTTAAAATTACCTATTAAATACATTACCATTACATACGAATACATAATATGAATATTTATATAAAAGGTCTAGAATAGGCTTCTGAAATTTCTAATCAATCAGCGCATGAACCCCATTAATCACATATTGATTAGCCCATATGATATATTTCAATTGAGTTATAACTAAGATTACTGGATGTATCGGCTAGACCTGCAAGCTTTTCCTGAAACATTGCGGATGATCTCCTATCGCCATCTAATTATCACTTACTGATACAATTTTTTTTGTTGGGTTTTTCATTGGAGAACCCCGCCTCGGTAAACCATTGGGGGCCAAAACGACACGAAGTTCCGTTGGATTTATTACTGATCAGTTATGCGTACATGTTGCTTATATTGTTTATTCGCCTCATTTGTGTATACTACACGAGCATATTATAATGAAAATAGGGAACTCGATTTTTTTCGACACATGAGTACGGTTGCTGTCATCATTGCTTACTACGTTCCAATACGTGCTATTAAATACAATATAACTTATTTTGTACGAACTTATGGAGTTAATGTTTTAAAACCTTCTGGTATTTATATTAGCGGTCCGCATTTCTCCAAAATCGATTATAGCACTAGTAATACGTGCAAAATAAATACTATAGCATTTTGTTGCTGTCATTACACGAATATGTATTCCTTTCATTTTTAAATAGCCATAGTGCGCTCTTACCATAACACCTCTGTGTCTTGAAATCAAACATCCCGGTATCGCTACTAACTCGTTCCAGCCGTTACTAGGGTGTAATGTCGATAGATAAGTAAATATCAGCTTTAAGCTAATAATTTTTAGGATAGCCTAGTTGAGTCCCTGTGATAACTTAGTTAAAAACGTGCTTACCTGCTATAAAATGAAGAAATTTATATTACGTTCATCAAAAACCAATGTCCGCCTTTTTTCAAAAGCTCCTTTTCGCTTACTTTATCCACTTCGATATAGCGGTTGAATGCGCTCTTGCTTTTTGATTTGTTCGTTGTGTGGCGCAATTTGAGATAAAATTCACGTCCAAACAATGTTCCTAAGGCATTTTCGACACCCACTTTATTTCGTCTTTAGCCGAAGTTATAGATAAAATAGAGTAGGTGTCGAAATAGCACTACATACTTACTCTGTGTATTGGGTTTTATAACTAAAAGAACTGCTTGAAGACAAACGCAAAGATCTCATCTAGAAGATACATCCTATTCTCAGCCAATCTAAGTTGACGAAGACTTCGGATAGCACTCATTAACCTGTCGTGAATATAGGATGCAAATACCCGACTCCCGTCCATCGCTCTTTCATTGAGGGAACTGCAACGTTACAACTACATTCGTATACAGTATATAATACTAATCTGGCTTCTAGCCATGACACAACAAATTGTTAGCAATGCCAAGGGTGTCTATTTCTAGAGCACTGGTGAATGCACCATTAGGCAGACCATTTCCTTTGATTTTAAAGAAGTTAAAAGAGTTGTCCTTATGTAGGTTGCGGAATATCCACCCGTCGTTTTCTTGGAAAGGTGCAGTACATAGGACGCCTAATTGTTATCTAGAATTAACATCGGTGTCATCCGGAATAATCTTAATAGATGTGTTTGGTTTATGGGATTTTGTCCAAATAATATCTTCCTCTTTAAACATTGAGAGCTTGCGTGTCCTTCCAACCAAGTGTAACGGACAAGAAAACATGGCTTCTCATCATTTACCAGCATCGCATCCGGCACTGTGCAAAGCGCAGCCATAATAGCGGGTTCTTTCACAGAATTGTTAGGTTAATAAAGGGCGCCGTCTTTCTCTATACGAGGAAAAACATTATTTACATTTAGTGGGCCTGGAAGGATTTTGTTGAAAGACGCTTGAAACTAACAAAATGGTTAACAAGAACCTGTGTATGGCACAGATACGTTGAAACAGGTCTATAAAATAGAAAAGAGTCAACAGACAAGAGTCGTTCCCATGGTAGTGCAGTGTAAACTTGTTTTTAAAATTAAACTCATAAAGACGCGGCGCCTTATGTTCGACACGGGGCCTAGAAACACTTTCCCTCGTGGTAGAAGGATCCAGGCATCGGCAGCAATGCCTAGCGCTTCAAAAACTCGACACAAGACTCAAAATATTTCGAAACGAAGTCATCGCATCCACGGCCGTGTCAAATGCCACCTGGCAAAGATACGAAAATCGTCTTGCAAAAGCTTGACTGGTACTACCATTAAATTCAATCAGCAGGTTGAATGAAGTTCGTTACTTCATAAGTGAGTCGTTTCAGGCTAGCTGATTTCAGTGTAATAAACAGTTACAATTGTTTTGTTATAAACCTATTGAATAACGTAGGCCTTTAATATTATGTCCCAATAATCCGAATGCCCTGTTTAGTAATTACGCAACCCTTCTCTAATGCTTAATGGTGAACGTTGTAGTAATAACGATCCTGTTCATTAACTGTTCATAACGATCCTGTAGCGGTCACAAGCCGTTGATAAGCTCCTCAAGTGGGCCAGGTCCGTCCAATATGCGTATTAAAAACTAATGCAGAAAGGCAATTTTTTCATACATAGATATAAATGCAATACATAAGCGACATATTTGGATTATGGCATAGAAGCAAATTTTGTTGCTAGGCGCAATAGTAAACATAGATATGCCGTTGACATGCCTTAGGGTCGATTAAATCTGCGACAAATTATCGCGACCTCATCTATTAGCAGAGCTACAAATATGCTTTTAATGTGTGGCATTTTAATGAATCTGAAGAAGCATTTAGCTTCATGATTGAATGCTAGTCACGCCCTTTTGAATTGAAATTCTTCCTCTGCAAAACTTGTACGCAACTTAATCATCTTACACTTGTGAGCTGACTGTCGAAGAGAACTGCAACGTAATTGTTACTTGGAAATAAGCAAGCGTTCAATTGCTTAATCTATTAATATTTCTTACAGGCTCTTCAATAAAAACACCATATTCCAATGGCGCGAGGGTTGCGGATTTCGCTAAGTTTCTTACTAGTAAAATGTTATCGTTCCCTACGACATGTTTTATTTACAATAAACTCACATTAAATTCGCTAGTAACGATACTTCCTCTCTCTCTCTCTCTCTCTATATATATATATATATATATATATATATATTAGGCAGTAGCGCAGCAGCATCTCTTCAGATAGAGTAGAACGAGCAAGTAACAAGAGGTACCGCCCCACCTCGTTCTGTCCCCCTTTTTTCTTAGGTGAGCACCACCCGCGAGCACTAGTTAGAGCTGCCCCTCCCCCAACTACCGTCCCATGATGGCATAGAATGTTGTGTAGCAATGGCGGTGCTGATGATCTCAATAACTGTATTGTTCATGCCAATCTCGCCTTCGTTTGAGTATTGGTACTGGCCATGCTAGCGGGGGTGTAGTGGCCGTTAGGCCCACTCTTCCGTACTTAACCAGTGCTAACAAGGCGGCGCCCACTTCGTCACAGGCTAGGATTCGACGACACCACATTGCAGCTGCTTCCAACAGCAGCGACACTACAGCGTCCTCAGCACGTGTTAGCGGCACTCGCAGGCAGGCCTACTACACTACACAGTAGGCCTATGATACATGGCAGTGTGAATCGTTGTACTCACTCAAAACCGGTGGTAGGAAGAATTTAGTAGCCTACGACGACGTTAACCACTATTTCAGCTTGATAGTAGGTGCGACGACCACACTGCCCTACGAACGGGTATGTAGTGGCATCACACTGAATGTGATGCCACAAGCGCAAGTAAGCCTGCAGCTGGATAGTGGTTTAGGCCAGCGGTCCACCACTAACTATCATCAGCCTGATTCGTTGATGTGCTGCCGGATTGTCGTTCCCCAGATATATCCACCCCTCCTCCCGCTCCACCCCGCTCTTACATGTGCGCACATATACGCACACTTCAAGAAAGATACACTGTTCACCAATGCTGAATAGTTGCGACACGATTCTGGAGGACACGGAGGCCAATTTAGGGTCAATCGTCTTAACTTTTAGATGGCCATATAAAATGCAAGGTGTTTTACCGTAATCGTACAACAATTCCGTGGCAGTAGTCTGCTTTATAAGTTTATGTAATACACGGATAAGACTTGTTTCTCCGCAGCCGGTTACTTGCTCATTTCCTAGCTAATTGTAACACCTCGGCTGGAGCGTGGATAAAAGGAACCATCTTCGGCTATATTGATACAATTCTACTATAGGATCTGGTAATCGAAATGCCAACTGGGACAGTGATTTTGACAATTTCTTCGGAAATTCAACTGCTTCATTAACACGAGTGTAATTTTTATAATACGTTTTGGTCTTAAAACTGAATGTTACAAAGAAACCACCTCATTGTCGAATATACATAAAGTCTATGTGTATGCTGCTATTATAAGATAATATAAAAGACGAACGAACAATTCAGCCAGTTCAAGTAATAAAAGATCAGAAACCAAGGGGGGGGGGGGATACTCACTAGTCGCTTCCTTGGATAACCTGTCGGAAGCGCGTTATTACCAACAAACGATTACATGTGATGAATGCTAACGATGGACCCATCTTTGCCGAGCTTGCCCAAAATCATTCCATTTACCGTTAGTAAGCAATTAGTTTAGTTTATGGTCGCTATGGCCACTTTATTCTAAGCGACTAGTCATTCCCTTTCGCAAACCCCAGTTCTAACTCTGCCTAGCAGTTATCACTCGAAAACAAGCCAATGTCGAATTCGATAATCTTTGGATACCCTCGTGTTTTGGCACTCCTTTAGTATGGACTTAATAAAATAAAGCTATATTCGTCTATGCTAGAAAATGTCCGAGCACTTCAATGTTACCCGCCAATAGTTCTAGTACGAGATAAATTTATGTCGATGCAACGCATCGGCAAAAAGTTGCATGCCTACATGTACTAGAAGCAGTTCCGAGTGATGCGCAGTAACTTCTTGAATACCGCTAACTTTGGCTCTTTCGATTTCTCCTTCCCCTGTTCGCTAAGACGCGGCTACACGGTAGCAATTAATAGTTGAAAAAAACCGAGGAAATATTTTTTCTCGTGCCCAGTCATGCGCACAGTGTTGTCTTCCTATGTTTCATATCTATGTCTGTATGTCAGCGGGCGTTGTACTCATACCAGGTGCACGGGACGAGCCCAAGCAGGGCTTGGCCTGTCGCCAGCACAGCCGCAGTTGTTGCCGAACGCGCAATCCACACGAGATGCGCAGTCGTCCGAGTGTAAGACTGCAGGCCTCTGTGCAGAACGAGCTAGCTCGGATTTTGTCGCGACTATCTTAGCCGTGGCTGCCAGGTGCAGTTAACTGCACGCAGCCCGTGCCGAAGAAGCCAACGGGAGCAGAGTAGTTAGGTTAACACTGGCGGCTGGTGCCGAACGCGGATGCGGAATCCTGGGACAGCATAGAACCGCGCAGTCAGGCAGCGGCTGGCCAGTCTCCAGCACCGAGTACCGAGCGGAACCACCAGCCGCAAACCAACTTCGATCTCTTCCGACCCAGGCACAACGGATCGTGCGGGTTATCTTTGGTTTAGGGTTGGATCGGTCGTTGGCTTGAACTCCTTTTCCTTCTCTCGCTCCTGCGCGCGAGCAGGACCATCGCGACAACA